TCCCTGTGCCATCCCACATTATTACAAATAACTTCATTTCTGGACATTTATGGTTTGATTTCTTTGTATGTATGGATTGTTTGCTTTGTTACCGTCATCTGGTGAAAATTTCATGTCATTAGCACCTCTAGTAATATATTTACTGAGAAAAATGGTGACGTGTTCAATACTTACAGTATTTTACCCGCTGTATATAAATAAAGTGAATTAAACTGAAAGCGACACAAAAGAGACGAGTTTRGAAGAACATCAAGAGGAACTAAGAGTTAGCCGCTCTCACCCGGAACTGCGGTCGTGGCTCCTCCAGGGACTCGGCGGGTGTGTCCAGCGTCCCCCACTTGTACGCCAGCTCGGCTCCCCTCCTCTTCCAGCGCTCCAGGAAAAGAGTGGCCCAAACCACGTTGAACAGTGCAAATACCACGCAGCAGATGTCACGGCTCGTCTGAGACGCCCCCAAAAACAAACAGGGAGGAGTTTATCCTTCCGATAATTCAGCGGAGAGGCGCTTGTTTTGACTTGAAAAAGGATCTCTCCTCACCTGATCGGACTCGGTGAGCATCCAGAGCACAAAGCCGATCACAGCAGGATACAACATAGAGGTGGTGTAGAAACCCAGCCAGGCAAAATACATGGCGATCTTCACCCCGAAGTAGTCACATATATCGTCTGTAAATACCATCACCAACACAAACTGAAGGATCAGCATTTTATAACAACAGATAAACATGTTACAAACAAACAAAAATACAAACCTAAAGGCTGCTTCTCACAAACAGCCTGGACCCACGACTTCATCAGCTGACCCAGGATCCTCTGCTCATGAAGAGGAAATATCTGCTGGATCACACCTCTGGCTTTCAACTCGGAAACTGAAAGAAGAGGAAAATGATGCCTCACGTTTACAACAGCTTTAAACTAGTCAACGTTGTGCATTTGGTCCAGGGGTCTGCAACTTTTAAGATCAAAAGAGCCATTTCTGATACTCAAGGCACTAATAAAATATGTCTGGAGCCGCAAAACAAGCTATAACTGTGATTATCAACAGGTGGTCTGTGGGCCTTTTCGAGGCCTTTTCAGGAATCTTTATGGCCAGTGGAGGTGATATTATAAAGCTAAAAAATATATTGTGAATTTTATTATTTATTATTATTTTTACCCATCAGGACAAATGAAAAGTCTATATTCATGTAAACAACAAAATACCGTGTATAGTTTATACCAAATTTCAAAAAAGCTAGTACAACTGAACTATTCAGGCATGTTTTTTTTTCTAATTTTTATTATTATGTAGTCTTCAAATTAAAGGTAATTCTGATGGATTTGAGAAAAAGATCATAGAAAGAAGTTGGATTATTAAAGTAAACAACAGGCTAACATGAGCTAATCAACATGTTTTACTTTTCGTATTAGTAGCATTTATCACATACTTGCGTACAAATATTTTCTGTTGTGGGTATAAAAATAATAATAATATTTCCATTATTTTTGGCCAATCTTCAAAGAGCCACTGCAGAGGGACCAAAGAGCCATAGGCAGCCCCAGAGCCGCAGGTTGCAGACCCCTGATTTTGTCTAATCAACAAGCTACGCCGTGATGAAGCTTCTTACTGATTGGCTGGCCTTCCAGGAAGTTGACGTTGTGAAGAACCTCCCCCTGTTTGGCACGTAGATTGTCCAGCCAGTATTTGATGATGCTCTGCCTCTCCTGCAGCACGAAGATCAAGAAACATGAGGCACACTTACATGAGCAGCTTGTGTGTGTGTGTGTGTGTGTGTGTGTGTGTGTGTGTGTGTGTGTGTGTGTGTGTGTGTGTGTGTGT